CTAAGCGAGAATCATACCCCTAGACCAACGAGCCGCATGATTTTAGTTGAGGTCCAGAGAGCAGTCATCAGGAAACTGGGTTCTCCGGTGTGAGTACAGCACCACTATCAGCCTGGTCGATAAAATGACTACACACGCACCAAAAAATCTCATCGCGCGTATTGTGTATTTTCGCCCATTCTGGTTGCCTTACAGCTGCACTGCTATTTTTTTTACAAAAAATACATTACCAAGATGTTCACTTTTGCAGAAGCTATGCATTTTTTTGGTTAAATGTGGAACTTCATTGAATTTAACATTAAACTTTAATTTAAAGTAAAAACTTTTAAAGTCTAGAACTAGTACGGGGAATCAACGCCAATTAAAATAACGATGTTACTGCCCTCTCGTGGACGAAGACATAATTTGCCTTCTTTCGTATGGCATGTTTGGGCATTGCAACAGATAACAAATTGATGTCAAGATTTGATATCCCATCGAACTGCTGCAGGAGTGGCCGCGTGGATTTGTTTCAGAACGCCGTTGAATGATGATGAAATCTGGCGGTCGTTCACGATAACGCTGTCATTAAAAATGAGCAAAAAACACACTTAAAACAGACACACAAGCCGCGTTAAACCGAAAAAAATGCTCAACTTTTAATAGGCGATTTGCTTCACGTAAACAGAAAAAAACCCCACCCATCAACTCCGAGGTGGGCCCCCCATGAGCAGTGCGGTAAAGTTGAAGGTACAGCTAGGTAAAGTGGTTGGGGGGGGAGGGGCTTGATTAATTGCAAAGGCTGACTCACAAAAGGAAGAAAGGCAACGGGAGTATGAAGCGAATGAAAGTGCTCCACAGACAGCTGCACGCGGAGGCCGCTTTTTGATGCCTTCCTGCTGCGTACAAAAAACAATTGCCATCGACTGCCTCCCAACACGGGGGGGTGTAGGGGGGGGGTGTAGGGGGGGTGTAGGGGGGTGTAGGGGGAGTGTAGGAGGGGTGTAGGGGGGTGTAGGGGGGTGTAGGAGGGGGTGTAAGGGGGGGTGGGGGGTATAGGAGGGGGTGTAGAGGGAGTGTAGGGGGGGGGGGTGTAGGGGTGGTGTAGGGGAGGTGTAGAGGGGGTGTAGGGGGGTGTAGGGGAGGTGTAGAGGGGATGTAGGGGGGGGGGTGTAGGGGGGGTGTAGGGAGGGGTGTAGGGGGTGTGGGAGGGTGTAGGGGGGTCTGGTTTAGGGGAGGTGTAGGGGGTGTGGGGGGGTGTAGGGGGGGGGGGTGTAGGGGGGGTGTAGGGAGGTGTAGAGTGGGTGTAGGGGGGTATAGGGGGGGTGTAGGGGGAGTGTAGGGGAGGGTGTAGGGGGGGTGTAGGGGAGGTGTAGAGGGGGTGTAGGGGGCGCGTAGGGGGGGGCGGTGTAGGGGGAGTGTAGGGGGGGTGTAGGGGGAGCATGTTGTGTTTGCATGTTGTTTCTACCTACTACGTGACTTTACCGAAAGAACCATAGAGTATGGATTCCTGCAGTCACGAAAGCTTCAAATCTAATAGAAATGTCACTTCTTTTTCAATTAAAAATGCCATCGACTGCTTTGTTTAGTTTGTTCCAAGTTTACGCATCGGTCGCGTTCTGTTTTGTTTACGAGTGGAATATGTTGCGTCGTTCGGTTTGGTTATTTTTAATGTACGTTTTATTTTTCACTTTCGTTTTGATGTTTACGTCGCGTTTCGTGTCGCGCCGAAATTGGTTCCCTGGATGGGTTGTTTCTTTTCACCCTGGTTTCTGTGAAAATAAAAAAGTAGACTCGTGGTCTCTATGAGCCCTTCGCGAGTTTATTCATAACATTAATAATTGAGTTTAAAGATAACGGCAATCTGTCTATCGAAAACGTCATGGTGATTGATGAAATGAAAGGGAATTCAATCTGCGTATTTTTCAACTCAGACGACGTTACCTTTTCATGACAATTCCTTTAACCTACATTTTCAAACGTTTAGTCCACGGCGGCGTAGTGGGTAGCGTGCTGCCCTGTGCATGCGGCAACCTAAGTTCCATTCCTTTCCGTGGCTAACATCAATGGCGAGTGTTTACAGTATCAGTCCTGGGCTTCTCCTACGTCGAGTAAGTATTTAAATCAGTCCCTGGTGTGTAAACATCAGCACTGGGGAGACAAAAGCGGCCTTGCGTCATGACTGCTTTCATAGGTGCTTGTTAACAAGCACTGACCCCAACAGTCAATCTAGCCTGCCATGGGGATCCTTGTCTTTGTGTGTTGTGATCAAGTTGTTTGGCCTGATATTTTCAGAGTGAAATGACTGAAATAGCAACTTTTAAATACCCAATACATCACACACACGCAGACCCATATCTCCGTGAAACATAAAAATTCACACTAACACAGCAGGTACACTGTGCAGCCTGATATATTTTCCAGGAGGGTTGGCTGAAAGCGTATTTAAAACCCAACAACTTCGATGCCTGTTTATAAGTAGGGGCGAAATGTTCTTTCAAACTTCTCGGGTGAACAGAACGCATAATTAATTAAGAAAATGCTCGTGTACCACCAGCCCCTCATTAAACACCGGAGGGATGAGAGTGCGATGCCAAGTGTAGGCATAGTCAGCTGGGACTACAGCTGTCAACAGCTCTTGCGGTGACGATGAGTCACCACAGCTTGGACGAGCTTCACCGAGGGGGGGTAACCAGAAAGTGCACAACAAAATGTGTCGCCGTGGATTCTGCCGGTCTCCCAAAATCTAACGGACTCGCAATATTCACGAACAATGCAATCAAACCATAATACAGTGAGGGAAAAAAGTATTTGATCACCTGCTGATTTTGTACGTTTGCCCACTGACAACGAAATGATCAGTCTATAATTTTAATGGTAGGTTTATTTGAACAGTGAGAGACAGAATGACAACACAACAATCCAGAAAAACGCATGTTAAAAATGTTATAAATTGGTTTGCATTTTAATGAGGGAAATAAGTATTTGACCCCCTCTCAATCAGAAAGATTTCTGGCTCCCAGGTGTCTTTTATACAGGTAACGAGCTGAGATTAGGAGCACACTCTTAAAGGGAGTGCTCCTAACCTCAGATTGTTACCTGTATAAAAGGCACCTGTCCACAGAAGCAATCAATCAATCAGATTCCAAACTCTCCACCATGGCCAAGACCAAAGAGCTCTCCAAGGATGTCAGGGACAAGATTGTAGACCTACACAAGGCTGGAATGGGCTAGAAGACCATTGCCAAGCAGCTTGGTGAGAAGGTGACAACAGTTGGTGCGATTATTCGCAAATGAAAGAAACACAAAATGATCATGAGAACGGTGAGGAATCAGCCCAGAACTACACGGGAGGATCTTGTCAATGATCTCAAGGCAGCTGGGACCATAGTCACCAAGAAAACAATTGGTAACACACTACGCCGTGAAGGACTGAAATCCTGCAGCGCCCGTAAGGTCCCCCTGCTCAAGAAAGCACATATACATGCCCGTCTGAAGTTTGCCAATGAACATCTGAATGATTCAGAGGACAACTGGGTGAAAGTGTTGTGGTCAGATGAGACCAAAATGGAGCTCTGTGGCATCAACTCAACTCGCCGTGTTTGGAGGAGGAATGCTGCCTATGACCCCAAGAACACCATCCCCACTGTCAAACATGGAGGTGAAAACATTATGCTTTGGGGGTGTTCTTTTGCTAAGGGGACAGGACAACTTCACCGCATCAAAGGGACAATGGACAGGGCCATGTACCGTCAAATCTTGAGTGAGAACCTCCTTCCCTCAGCCAGGGCATTGAAAATGGGTCGTGGATGGGTATTCCAGCATGACAATGACCCAAAACACACGGCCAAGGCAACAAAGGAGTGGCTCAAGAAGAAGCACATTAAGGTCCTGGAGTGGCCTAGCCAGTCTCCAGACCTTAATCCCATAGACAATCTGTGGAGGGAGCTGAAGGTTCGAGTTGCCAAACGTCAGCCTCGAAACCTTAATGACTTGGAGAAGATCTGCAAAGAGGAGTGGGACAAAACCCTCCTGAGATGTGTGCAAACCTGGTGGCCAACTACAAGAAACGTCTGACCTCTGTGATTGCCAACAAGGGTTTTGCCACCAAGTACTAAGTCATATTTTGCAGAGGGGTCAAATACTTATTTCCCTCATTAAAATGCAAATCAATTTATAACATTTTTGACATGCGTTTTTCCGGATTGTTTTGTTGTTATTCTGTCTCTCACTGTTCAAATAAACCTACCATTAAAATTACAGACTGATCTTTTCTTTCTCAATGGGCAAACGTACAAAATCAGCAGGGGATCAAATACTTTTTTCCCTCACTGTAGAAAAAGAAATGTCAGGCAACTCGTAACGCGCCACCACGCAGTATTCGCTCGCGGGATAACATGCGGGCAATCCCACCTCTTCCAAGACGTCGGGGGCCAGAAATGGAAGAGTAGAGCAAAAATTCCCTCTATAAGAGCTCTTCGGAGCAGCGGTTCCCAGCCTGGCGGTCCGCGAGGCTACTACTACTACTACAGGAGGATCCGTGGAGATGAATAATAACAATAACATCCTCATCAAGGAAATGTACAATCTCAAACAGCTACTCGTTGTCGCGTGTGGGCGGTCCGAGCAATGTCTGTCGGCACACTCGACAAGGCTGGGAACCGCTGCTCTAGAGCAATCGCTTGCGGGGGCTGCGGCGTCACCTGTTAGATGCGATGAGCGATTGGCTCATAAAATGACCCGGTTGCTCCCGCCCATTCATTGGCTCACTGCAGACGGAGTTTCACGGTCCACTGAAAAGGGCACCATCTGCGATACATTTTCAAGGCATCTTCGCGAGCGGCGGAAAAAGAACGGTGATAATCTCCGACTTCACCGAATTGGCAGCAGGGCAACAGGGAAACTGCAGGATTTGCAATCGACCTTTCGGCGTGGACAGGCTGAGGACGATGTGTCAACATACACCCGAGCAGCGGCGAGCAGAAACGTGAACACCGCTCGTCTTAGAGCGTGACACCGACCTGAACGTGAGCACGGTGAGGGGCCGATACGACTTGTGGCTGGTGTTGCTGCTTAGGCGCCCGCCCCAGAAATCGTCTGTCCAAAGCGACGACAGAGGGGTCTCGGGCTTGAGGTCCTGTCAAGAACAGAATCCGAATCTTTATTTATCCTCGTGGAAACTGAGGGAGCGATGAAGCTCTTTTTCACAGATGTCCAGTAAGTGGGGCGGGTCAGCAGTGTTACAACAACAACAACACGAACAACGATAGCAGTGCAAAATATAGAAAAGGTAAGCAAGTCACTAAAATTAATGAATAAAAATATATAAAGTGTACAAGTACCAATTGTATAAGTGCATAAATTCCTTTTGATTTGTCGACACCAAATGCAAACTTGGCCAAGGCAGAAAACCAACAACAAAAACAGTCCCAGACCACACCAAGACAACGCATAATCCCTCAATAAAATGTGCACGTAAAAATGTAGCTATCGATACACGGGTCAAGGTTACAACAAACACAGTAATTCCTCGTTTAACGCGGTAGTAGATGCGTTCCTGAAAAGTGCCGCATTAAGCGAGGTATTACTGTATACTGCAAACATTACAGGTCATAAATAAATAAAAATAATGCACATTTGAATCACATTTGCACCATAAAATCAGCCTGCAGTCATCCCATGGCAGGACGAAGGACTGAGTACGCCATCGCGTACTTTATCATTCCGCGCGTATGCTCACAATTCCCATATCGCTCAGCCCAAGAAAGCAGTTTGTTATCGACCACTCAGAAACCGCATTACAACGGAAACGTTCCACATTATAACGGTGCACGTTCCACGTTATAACGGTGCACGTTCACACGTTATAACGGTGCACGTTCCACGTTATAACAGGCGCATTCCGCCTTATGCGAAAAGTGTTCCCGAACAGAAGCACCTTGTTTTCGCGAAAATGCGTCGTTTGAAAACGCACGACGCGAGGATTTACCGTACACTTGGGAGTCACTGGCAAAAATCATTTACAGATAAACCACTACCAACAAAAGCCTCGGCATCATCATCTTTAACAGACCCTCTCATTTTCACTCTCAGTGGCTCAAGAAAGATCTCCCAAAGTTAACACCTATGTTTCCAGCAGAGGGGTCACAATTCGCCCCGCTCGCGATTCAATGAATTGTCACGAATAAGATTCATACATCGATTCTTTTAACTCCGTGGTGGATAGACCACCGCTACAGCGGCTGGAGGGGTCATGTGAACCCACGCAACGTGTACAAATTGAAAAACACCCATTGAAACGTTTTTTTCTTTCACAGGACATCTGTAAAATGTTTCAAGTGGTATGTTTGTCATTTACACGGTAGGGAGCGCATTTTCCCACAAACGCTCCTTAAAGATTGTCACGTGGTGAGTCAAAATAAATAAATAAACGATGTTCAATCTGTATATTGGCCACACGGTCTTCTCTGGGAGTGCATAATTTCTTCAACGTTGATTCAAGAACAACAAAGTCTGGACCGATTTCGACACACAGTGTCTCAACAGCAGACTCAGGCTTGCTTGAATCAATGCTGGTGAACTACCGATCTTACAGCCAAGGGCCTTCTATTAACGATGCGGGTCCTGGTTGGACGTCATATCATATAATATGTACATACATAACGCTAATTAATCATACGTGTCGAATGACAAATAAAATCAATATACTGTGCCGGGAGGTATAATCAACTAATGACCACTGGATTGCAAGTCCAGTATGTGAACGAACCATTAATATAAACTAAACAATTTTTTTATTTTACCACTGAGCTATATCGTTCTTTTTTTATAAGAGACCCGGCCACAAATGACAGGCCAATTAAATGGCTTATTACGTGGAAATTTATAGCAGCCAATTCTCTAAACGCATGACTTTCATTCTATATGTGGACGGAAAAACCGGAGGACCCGCAGCAAAATCCACGCGACCACGAAGAGAGAGAGAGAGAGACACGCAAAGTTCAAATATACAACAGGCGTCAGGGTCGGGCTCGAACCCCAGATCTCCTGTATACCAGGTGAGGCAGTTAACATCTCGCCACCGTGGCACATTAACGGTGAGGAAGGAGCGAGGCTTCTCACCTTGTTGCCCACAACAGCCTCTGAGTCGTCGAAGACGAATGCGCCGTCGTAGCTGACGATGAATGAGAGGGCGGCTGTGAGGGCGGCCAGGGCCCGAGCGAGCGCGGGAGGCATGGAGGGTACTGGTAGGGCAGCATCATCCAGATCCAGCGAGGAGGCTCCCTGTGCGCCCTCTCCTCCGTCCTGTGCCATCGCTTGCGAAGCCTGCGGTCAACATAGCAGGCGTGTATACGGTGCATTTGGTTCGTTAGCCAAAGTTGATTCTCATTCATAATAGAGGGGTTTTTTTGGGGGGGGGGGGGTTAGATCACATAAATGTCGTTAAACCACCCGACACAACCAATTAGTAAGATTTGTCACGGAAATAAAACATGACAATTCGTTACTAGTTCAGCACACCGACGTGTTGGAAAGTAAGCCCACAACATTTACAATTCGAGTACGACGTTTCCCCAGTAATTTAACAAAAATGTCATGAATCATATCGGTTACGAAAGCGTACGTGTTAATATTCTTCGGGTTAAATTTTGATTTAAAGCTTTCGTGACTGCAGTAATTCATAATCTTAGTTTTTTCGGTTAAGTCACGTTGAAGAGAAACAACAAAATAATAAAATATATATAAAACAATAAAAAATTATCACGACGTTTCGACCATAACTCAAACGGTCATCTTCATTTATTTTCAGAATATAGATGGACTAGTCCTGGGTAAACTGCCAAATCGCTGCGCGTGGCGCTAACGTTTTTTTTTATTATAAATAAATAAATGCGCCGTTTAAAAATAAATTTATGCAAACCAACACACCTGAAGATGACCGTTTGAGTTATGGTCGAAACGTCGTGAGAATTTTTTATTGTTTTATATATATTTTATTATTTAGTTGTTCCTCTTCAACATGACTTTACCGAAAAAACTAAGAATATTCTTCGGGTTCTTTCGGTAAAGTCACGTAGATAGAAAAAAATAATATAAATAAAAACCACGACGTTTCGATCGCAACACAAGCGGTCGTCATCAGGAAAAGGGGGTTAGCCTCTAAAGGCAAACTGTTTATAAAGGTTTAAAATGGGCGTAGCCCAAGTGTCAGCAGCATGGGCGGGGCAGCTAATGTTAATGTGAGGGCCAACGACAGCGCTGGTGGTGCGTTTCCACCAATTAAAGGGCTGCCAGGTAAAAATGAGCATGTGAATGTAAGATCGGAGAGCGGCCTCCACGGTCGAGCGCACTGAGGTGGCTATGTTAATGTGAGAGATTAGCATGTTAATGTGACATCGCAGAGCCGTCACCACGTCACGGTCAGTGCGCGGAGGTGGCTGTGTTCGTGTGAGAAATTTAACCTGTTCATGTAAAATCGGAGAACCGAAAATAACTAACATCGGGAGGTGGCAGGATGGGAACATCACAGCCAGTTATGATTTAAACTGTTTGATCACGTCTTTCCAATGATTGCTAATTTGTACCCATCCTCTCGATTGAAATTATGTCTGTGTCTGTATATATGGATGGCTTCATGAATGAATCTTTGTTGATAGCCAATGGGTTTGCAAAGAACCTTCGTCTGAGAGAAATAAATTTGTGAGCCCACAGCATTAAAACAATGATCAGCCACGGCCAAGGTATTGGTCCTACCGTATTTCAGATCTGCCTTATGTTCACGAACACGATTCCCAATGTAACTACTGCCGCAGACACAGCTTAGTTTGTAGACGCCGGGATATTGCATGGCAGGGATCTTGTCCTTCACAGATGGGACCAGATCACAAATTTTATTTACTGTGTTAAATAGGAGCTGGATCTTGTGTTTGTTCATGATTTTGGAAATATTTTTTGTTGCCCCTGCTATGTATGGCAAGGTGATGGTTTTGATTGGATGCTCAAATGGCTCCTTCCTCACGGTTGGGGCGATGGCTTTGCTGATTGTGTAGTCAGAATATCCATTCGCCTTGAGAGCTTGGTGTACGCGATTGAGTTCACTGGTGTTAAATTGATTCTCATAACGTCATATTTTTTTCAATCAAGATTGAAAACTCATTTATTTAGAACTGCTCTGAGTGTTTCAATTGTTGTCCTTCCCCTGCACCTCCGATTAGCACGGTTGGCTACATACGGTGCGAACGAAGTTAAACATACGTATAACCCATTGTCAATTTACTGCTAGACGGAGGCTTCACCGCGCAGTGTTGGTCACGGGAACTGCGCTTGTTGTGTTATTGATAGTTTTTGCCTGGTTAAACAAAAACACAAAATACACGTAATGACAGCATTCATCATTTTATTATTGCGCATGATGACAGCAGCAAAATGGCTCAGGAGCTAAATGCACAATGTCGAGGTCTGCCGCCCACGACGAGAGGGCTTCTACTGGACATCTGTGAAAAAGAGCTTCATAGCTCGAGTTGCATGGCCACAATATCTTTACTGTGGCTTGTCTTCAACGTGTCTCTTTATGGGTCTCTATGTGTCTCTGTGGGTCTACTGCGTGGTCCATAGCTCGAGTTGCATGGCCCCAATCACTCCACCGTGGCTTGTCTTTAACGTGTCTCTTTAAGGGTCTCTATGTGTCTCTGTGGGTTTACTGGATGGTCCATAGCTCGAGTTGCATGGCCACAATCACTCCACCGTGGCTTGTCTTTAACGTATCTCTTTAAGGGTCTCTATGTGTCTCTGTGGGTCTACTGCGTGGTCCATAGCTCGAGTTGCATGGCCACAATCACTTTACCGTGGCTTGTCTTTAACATATCTCTTTAAGGGTCTCTATGCGTCTCTGTGGGTCTACTGCGTGGTCCATAGCTCGATTTGCATGGCCACAATCACTTTACCGTGACTTGTCTTTAACGTATCTCTTTATGGGTCTCTATGTGTCTCTGTGGGTCTACTGCGTGGTCCATAGCTCGAGTTGCATGGCCACAATCACTCCACCGTGGCTTGTATTTAACGTATCTCTCTATGGGTCTCTATGTGTCTCTGTGGGTCTACTGCGTGGTCCATAGCTCGAGTTGCATGGCCACAATCACTTTACCGTGGCTTGTCTTTAACGTATCTCTTTAAGAGTCTCTATGTGTATCTGTGGGTTTACTGGATGGTCCATAGCTCGAGTTGCATGGCCACAATCACTCCCCGTGGCTTGTCTTTAACGTATCTCTTTAAGGGTCTCTATGTGTCTCTGTGGGTCTACTGCGTGGTCCATAGCTCGAGTTGCATGGCCACAATCACTCCACCGTGGCTTGTCTTTAACGTATCTCTCTATGGGTCTCTATGTGTCTCTGTGGGTCTACTGCGTGGTCCATAGCTCGAGTTGCATGGCCACAATATCTTTACTGTGGCTTGTCTTCAACGTGTCTCTTTATGGGTCTCTATGTGTATCTGTGGGTCTACTGCGTGGTCCATAGCTCGAGTTGCATGGCCACAATCACTTTACCGTGACTTGTCTTTAACGTATCTCTTTAAGGGTCTCTATGTATCTCTGTAGGTTTACTGGATGGTCCATAGCTCGAGTTGCATGGCCACAATCACTTTACCGTGACCTGTATTTAACGTATCTCTTTAAGGGTCTCTATGTGTCTCTGTGGGTCTACTGCGTGGTCCATAGCTCGAGTTGCATGGCCACAATATCTTTACTGTGGCTTGTCTTTAACGTATCTCTTTATGGGTCTCTATGTGTCTCTGTGGGTCTACTGCGTGGTCCATAGCTCGAGTTGCATGGCCACAATATCTTTACTGTGGCTTGTCTTAAAAGTGTCTCTAAGGGTCTCTACGTGTCTCTGTGGGCTTCACCGCACGATACACAGCTTCGAAGTTGGCACCGGGCACAGTCGCTCCCAACTTTGGCATCTTTTGCCTTTTCGCTTTTCCAAAGCCGTCGACTTCCACCTCCCACAGAGGGCGCCCTGCGATCGCCTTGAAGCCCCGCGCGCGATATCGGCGCCGCATGGACGCCGCCGGCTCGTGTTAGCGTACAGTTCAGCCATCCACCGCTCACCACAACAACAACACACAACATCACATCACACGCAGGGGCAGCTTTCCCGCCATGCAACCGCATGAAACCTTTCTCCAGCACCGACACGAAGCGTCGGATGCGCTTTCGCTCCCGTCGAACGTCGAAGTGTTTTGTGTAAGCGGAGTCTGCGCGCCACCACCACCACACCACCACTACACCACCACCACTACCCCACCAACCACCACACCACCACTACACCACCACCACCACTACACCACCACACCACCACTACTACACCACCACACCACCACCACCACACTATCACCACACCGCCACACCACCACCACCCTTTCTCTCCCTCTCAACTTATCCACAAGGCCCCCTCGATATCGCCGTCAAGAGCGCGGAGATGTAGGGGACGACACCCAGGGCGATGGAGGATAGAAAGGGGGGAAATATTTTTTTGTTGTTGTTAAATCCCCTCACAAACATCAGTGGCCCTATCAGTAAAAAAAGAGAACCCCCCCCCCACCAGCTGCTTTTACCTTTGCGGTACGAGCGCCTCCGCGCGTTTGAGTCGCCGCGCGCGTTGTTGCATCGCCGTCGCATCTCCGTGACATTCCCCGCCTCCCCTCCCGCGAAACCCTCGCAAAGTAAAAGCAACGCAAGGCGACGCGGACCCGTCGAGGTGTAACGAGAGACAGAGAGAGGAAGAGAGAGAGACAGAGAGAGAGAGACAGAGACGGAGAGAGAGACAAAAAGAGCAGCAGCAGTCGCTGCTGCTGCTGCTGGGGTGGGATTTTTACCCAGCAGACATGGAGCAGGCGCGCGGGGCATGCCGGGAACGTTGCGGAACCCACCCACCACGCCGTAATAACCACCACAACAACCACCCACCACAACCACCCACCCACCACACCGTAATAACAACCACCACAACAACCACCTACCCACCACCACACCGTAATAACCACCACAACAACCACCCACCACAATAACCACAGCAGCCACCCACCCACTCGCCACCATAACCAACAACCACCACCACCAACCACCACAACTACCCACCGCAACAAACACCCACCCACTCACCACCATAACCACCACCTACCAACAACCACCCACCACCACCACCCACCACCACTACCCACCTCCACCACCCACCACAACAACCACCACCCACCCACCACACCTCAACAACCACAGCACCCACCCACCACCCACTCACCACCATAACCACCACAACAACTACCACCCACCACAACAACCACCCACCACAACAACCACCACACACCACCACCCACCCACTCACCACCATAACCACCACCCACCCACTAACAACCACCACCACACACCCACCACCACTACCCACCCACCACCACCCACCACAACAACCACCACACATCACCTACCACCACCCACCACCATAACCACCACCCACCCACTAACAACCACCACCACACACCCACCACTACCTACCCATCACCACCCACCACAACAACCACCACACACCACCCACCCACTCACCACCATAACCACCACGCATCCACTAACAACCACCACCACACACCCACCACCACAACAACCACCACACATCACCTACCACCACCCACCACCACCACCACCAACCATCCACCACCACAAACCCTTCCTACCTGAAGGAGGCCTCCAAATTGACCTCATGCAAGAAAGATTTTAAATATCGATTTGTGGGGTGGGGTGCGGTAGGTGGGGGGTTATGAATAAATGTTGTTGCAATGTTTAAGCTCACGCTTTATGCACGTAAGATTGGTGGTATCTGTTATAGGGTGATGATCCCATACCTGTCGAACCCTTATCAGTGCCCTACCTTATAACAGACCAACTCAGACCTTTATTGGTCACTCCGTGCCCTTGTAAATCTCAACGTTCATCCTACGAAGTCCCATCGCAAGGGAGAAACACATAATAGACAAAAAACATGTATTTGTGCCCGTATTGAAACGGCTGTACGCCTTATGGACCTAAAAACTAAATTTCCCTGTACAAGAATATTGGGTAAACCGTATGGGTTGACAGCTATGGGCTTTATGCACGAAATATTGGTGTGTGTTATAAGGTTGATGATCCATTTATAGAAGGCCCAATAAAATAACAATAGTGAAGGAATTGTATGGGGCGTTAAATAATTCACAAGGCTTCAATGGCTCTTAAGCGATATCTCCCACCCATCTCAATCCCTGCGCACTTGATAAAACGTGTTAACTCGCTCCACTAATTAAATCTACTGTAAATAAATCTAATTAAATCCAGGAAAGCCTCCGTTGAGTCTCAGGACTGATTTCAGGACGAGGAGGACGTTTGGTAACATGGCGTTAGAGTGCTTTAAAATTAAAAGAGTACAATTCTCATTGTACTCATTGTTTTTTTTCTTTCGGTAAAGCCACGTATGTGGAAATAAAATAAAATTTACATTTAAAAAAATAAAATTAGATTAGAATAAATCACGACGGTTCGAACGCAACACAAGCGCTCATCATCAGTTGGAAATGCGGGTGAAACACATAGCGAGGGAACACACAGAGGGAAAACCACGCACATGGCCACGCACATGGCACGTAGAGAACGCCAAACTGCACGGAGGGAAATACAGCGAGAAGATGGGAGACGCGAACTCAACAAACCTTAGAAACATAATGTGATGCAAAACCCGTCGGCCAACAACAACAACACAGTTAGACACACTAACCTGGTTGACCACGTACTTCAAAAGACTGCTAAATCTTTGGTTCTCATTCTCTGGGCCGAACATACCAACGTAAACAGAGGGCAAGGACTCGTTAATAGATACGAAGTACAAGAGGTACTTGCACAGAGAAGACACAGGGAGAGATATACTCTTTGGTTCTATTCGGTAAAGTCACGTAGGTAAAAAATAAAACAACAAAAATCACGACGTTTCGGCCACAACACAAGCGGCCTTCTTCAGGTGAAGGGACCAGGCTGTCTTGAGGACAGCGCTGGAGTGTCCTCGAGACAGTCTGGTCTCTTCACCTGATGAAGGCCGTTTGTGTTGTGGCCGAAACGTCGTGATTTTTGTTGTTTTATTTTTTTACCTACGCGACTTTACCGAATAGAACCAAAGAGTATGGATCCTTGCAGTCACGAAAGCTGTAAATCTAGAACAGGGAGAGATGTTTTTATGCCCTTTTATCTTGGAAAGTGACCAAAGAAAACCCTCCTATTCGATGGAATATGGACACAATTAGTGTCCATGTGTTGTGATATTGCAATTGTGACCGTGATTTTGCAACAGTTCATTTAATCGCCGCTGGAGTGTGGGGGGGGTGTTGGATGTCACAGAAGGACCATTACCCGAAACGTCTCCTATTTTTGTCTTTGTTTTCTTTTAACGCCACAAGGACGCAGTGTGATTGACGAACGCGTCCACATTTTGTTGAATTCTCGTCTCTCATCTTTTTGTTGTATTTACCTCCGTGATTTGTTCTTGACACCTGATGAAGATCGCTTGCGTTGTGATCGAAACGTCGTGATTGTTTTTTGTTTGAATAAAATGTTATTGTATTTCTACATACGTGACTTTACCGGAAAAAAATCAATGAGGAACGTGTCCACGTTGTATTGTTTTTGTTGTCAATCGTGCTTTTGCACCGCTGCCAACGCAGCAGCTGTAACGCCCATTAATCAGGAACGAAACGTCGCCTCTGACCGAAGAAAATGCCACAAACACCTCAAAGGTGAAATAACACGCAAGAAACGCAGCGGGGAACGCGTGGACGAGAATCGGAGAACGAAAGGGTGAATTAACGCAAGGCTGTCAAGTCAAATTAAACACGAAGGGGGTGGTGGTGGTGGTGGCCTGGGCATGGCTAGGGCAAGTCGTGGCTTGCAGGGATGGTGGGGCCGGCGGTCGAGACGAATGACGGAGTGGCCGACACAGTGGGGGGGGACACACAATCCGAGTGAGTGCGGAGCACGCTAATCGAGTGAGTGAGGAGCACGCTAATCGAGTGAGTGAGGAGCACGCTAATCGAGTGAGTGAGGAGCACGCCGAGTGAGGATTGTCCCCACGGGGGACGGGGAGATGACATGTTTAATGTGTTCAGTAGAGTCATAATGGAGGTGATTATACGGGAGGAATCCGATGAGCTATAAAGCTCTTTTTCCCAGATGTCCGGTGCATTGTTACATTGCAGGTTAGTGCAGCGACTTCGACGGCTTGGGAAGGTTTTCGTCCAACAGCGGATCGACCGTGGATAATCATGACGATGTAAATAGGGGGTTTCAAAACGATGGACCCAATTTCAAAGCAGTATATTTCACGATAGCATAATGTTACAATTACACAAAAAGTTACAAACGGTTTAATGAGTCATCAAGTTTTACTAACCATTTTATAAATGCTCTATGTGCCCTCCACCTGCTGGTCAGATCCCCCCTCAAATATGACGTCACAAAGCTCTGCCCCCCCCCCCCCCCAAAAAAAACATGCTTCAAATCGCTTTAAACTATTGTCATTGTAGTGCGTATTTAATGTGCCGCTGCACTCTGATGTTGAAGGAGAAAACATTTGTTAAAAAGTATATTTAACTAAGTAGAACGTGTTGTCTTTATTTATTTAAAGTTGCGCATTTTGATGTGACGTCACATTTCTCAAACACCCCCCCCCATCGTCACACATCGTCACAAATGTCTGACCCCCCCCCGGCCCCAGGTGCGTGACGTCATTTATGGGCGGCCCCTTTCAAGTGGTCAGAGTTTAATTCATGGGCGGTTCGTGGTTGCAGAGATATAGCGATTTCAAATCGGGTCCATCTTTTTAAAACACCCTGTATATTTGTTGTTGTTGTCATTTAAGATTTAAAATAACCCCCCCCTCCACTACCAATCCTAATATAACCACCACCCACACCACCCCCCTTTGGCAGGTCTCCTCAGTGGTACGGTCCGGCGGCGGTCCCTGTCCCTCACCCCCCCCCTGCGTGACGGAGACAATGGTCGAGTCCCCGTGGGTATCCCGGCGTGCATCGCGACGGCGGGGCGAGGCCTTTGTGCTGCTGTGGGAGTAGCCGCAGTCAGCGGCAGTAGCGGCGGGCAGCAGCAGCAGGAGACGCAGCAGGAGCGGTCACTGCTGGGACGAAGAGCAGCCGAGAAAGGCAGCAGCAGCAGTCGTGGGCAGCAGCAGCAGCGAGCATAAGAAGCAACAGGAGCAGTCATTGCTAAGACGCAGCAGCAGCAGCAACAGCAGGAGCGGCAGAAGCGGTCATTGCTGAGACGAGCAACCGAGGAGGCAGCAGCGGGCAGCAGTAGTAGCAGCAGTCTGTGCCGAGAGGAGCAGCAGCAGCAGTAGTATCAGCAGTAGCAGCAGCAGTCTGTGTCGAGACGAGCAGCAGTAGTAGTATCAGCAGCAGTAGTAGTATCAGCAGCAGTAGTAGTATCATCAGCAGCAGCAGCAGTAGTATCAGCAGCAGCAGCAGTATCAGCAGCAGTAGCAGCAGTCTGTGTCGAGACGAGCAGCAGCAGTAGCAGCAGTAGTAGTATCAGCAGCAGTAGCAGCAGTCTGTGTCGAGACGAGCAGTAGTAGTATCAGCAGCAGTAGTAGTATCAGCAGCAGTAGTAGTATCAGCAGCAGCAGTAGTATCAGCAGCAGTAGCAGCAGCAGTAGTAGTATCAGCAGCAGCAGTCTGTGTCGAGCCGGCGAGCTGAGACGAGCAGGCGGAGAGTCGCGGCGACACCGGCAGGTCAAGAGCTGGGGAAGAAGCAACAGCAGCCACCGCAGCACCAACAACAACGTCGCCAACAACATCAACAACAACAGGAGCAGCAGCAGGGAGGAGGAGCAACAGGGAGGAGCAGCAGCAGAGGAGGAGGTGGCGTGGTGGGTGATGAGGGGAGGGTAGGAGCCGCGGCGGGAGGAGCGTTAGCAATTAGGGAGGAGGAGGAGCGAAAGAGGTTTTGAGGATCGCGGATCAAATCGTCAGGGGCAGTGGGAGCCGCGAGCAACGGCGAGGAGCAGCAGAAGCAGCAGCAGGGGAGCATCGTCTGGAGGAGCAACAGGGGGGAAACAGGTTGGGTGACATCTGGGGACAGTGGGGAGGAGGAGGATCGGGAGGAGGAGGAGGATCGGGAGGGGGAGGATCGGGAGGAGGAGGAGGATTGGGAGGGGGAGGAGGACGATAAGGAACGGGGTGGGTTGGGGGGGGGTAGAGAGCTCCGAGTTGGTGAGCATCAAACAGGAGGAGGAGGGAGAGGCGACCACAAAAGGGGGAATCGACAGAGAAGGCAGCGTCGGCTTCATCGTCTTGCGCGGATCATCAGGCGGGGAGCACGAGGAGCACGAGGAGGAGGAGCACGAGGAGGAGGGAGTCGTCGCCCGCGCGCGTGCCCGTGGAGCATGCGCCTCCGAGCTGCCGCTGCTCGTCTCGGGTCGGCGCGTCCGCAGCCCCGAGAGAGAGGATTGAGAGAGGAGCTCGCAGACTCTGACCCCTTGCAGCAGCAGCAGCAGTAGGCGGAAGCAGCTGAAGCGGGAATAGCGAAGCAGCAGCAGCAAGCGAAGAGCTGCAGGAGAGGAGCGATGGCGAGTGAGAGCGCCCCTGCGAGAAGCCTGGATGACATCGACCTGGCAGCGCTCAGGGTGCGTTCGTCGTAGCAGCATCATGATCATGATCATCAGCATCATGATCATCAGCATCGTGATCATCAGCAGCATCGTGATCATCATCATCAGCATCGTGATCATCATCAGCATCGTGATCATCATCAGCAGCATCGTGATCATCATCAGCATCGTGATCATCATCAGCAGCATCGTGATCATCATCAGCAGCATCGTGATCATCAGCAGCAGCAGCAGCAGCATCGTGATCATCAGCAGCAGCAGCATCGTGATCATCATCAGCAGCAGCATCGTGATCTTCATCATCCTCAGCATCGTGATCATCATCATCCTCAGCATCGTGATCATCATCATCCTCAGCATCGTGATCATCATCAGCATCGTGATCATCATGATCATGATCATCAGGATCAGCATCATCAGGATCATCATCAGCATCGTGATCATCATGATCATCAGTATCAGCATCATCAGGATCATCAGCATCCTGGTCATCATCAGCAGCAGCATTAGAATATCATCAACGTTATCACGAACAGCAGCGGCATCGCATAATTCAACATCGTTATCATAATCAGCAGCGTTACCACCACCACCACCATCGTTCATCAGCAACATACATTCACCATCACCCATTCCATTCGTATGATTTCACGACTCACGTGGTCGATTCACAATCATGATTCATTCATTACCACCCACCCACCACCGGTATATCTCACCGTCGTCGTTACGAATAACACTGATTGCACTGTAAGGGGGGGTGGGGGTGTTTAATCTTTAGACACGAGCCCTAGAGTCGGCGTGCTGCCACGTGTGTGCTTTGTGTGTGCGCACTGTATTCTCGACGGCGCACAGGAGTACACGCGTGGACAACACGCCGTACTGAAGGATATACTGTGTGTGTGTGCTTTACATGTGCAGTACCCGCTTGTGTAGTGTTTTTTTACAGCGTGTATACGGTAGGGTCTGCACACGGTATATGTGTACACGTGTGTGGTTTGTACTGTGTGTCTACGGTGGAGCATGCACACAGTACGTGCGTGTACACGTGTGGTTTGTACTGTGTATACGGTAGAGTGCACACAGTATATGTGTACATGTGTGTGGTCTGTACTGTGTATACGGTAGAGTGCACACAGTATATGTGTACATGTGTGTGGTCTGTACTGTGTGTGCGGTAGAGTCTGCACACGGTATATGTGTACACGTGTATGGTCTACTGTGTGTATACGGTGGAGTATGCGTACAGTACGTGTGTACACGTGTGTGTACGTGTGTGGTCTGTACTGTGTGTCTACGATGGAGCATGCACACAGTACGTGTGTGTACGTGTGATCTGTACTGTGTATACGCTAGAGTCTGCACACAGTATATGTGTACACGTGTGTGGTCTGTACTGTGTGTGTGTTTACGGTGCAGTCTGCACACAGTTCCTCTGGAGTGTCAACGAGTGTCTTTGGTGCTGTACATTCTGGCGTCTGCCTACAGTACACGTGTGTACTGTACTGTGCTGTCCACGTGGAGTGTTGTACACGCTTGGGTTGTACTGTACTCTGTGCCTGGTTTAGAGTCGGGCTACGTTTTCTGACCTGCCCCTACTGGAGATGTGTTGAAAAGAGCTTACTAGCTCAACGGATTTTTTTTTCCGGGATAACTAAAGAATCCGAGTCTGACATGTGTACACGGAGCGTGAGGTGTGTGACACAACGCGTGTAGCGTGTCCGTGTGGCGTGTAGCCGTGCAGGGTGCTCGTATCCACATAGTCTATCTCACCAGGCTTCACTCTACACGCTTATTTTCATTCAACGTACACACACACACATGTACAGGCTTCACATGAGCAGTGATCTAAGCTACTGTAGACGTCAACTCAATCATTCCCCCACACTCATGTTGAGGACTCGGTCTAGCAGACGCGGTGTATTTTTACTCCATACCCACCACACTGCAGGTCACAATCACCCACTCATTCACTCGCTCACCAACTCGCACACCCATTCATTCACTCGCTCACCCACTCACCCACTCGCTCACCCACTCATTCACTCGCTCACCCACTCATTCACTCGCTCACCCACTCATCCATCCACTCACCACACTGCAGGTCACAACCCACGCTCGCTCGCTCACCCACTCATTCACTCGCTCACCCACTCGCTCACCCACTCACCCAATCACCCACTTGCTCATCCATCCACTCACCCACTCATTCACTCACCCACTCATTCACTCACCCACTCATTCACTCACCCACTCATTCACTCGCTCACCCACTCATCCATCCACTCAACACACTGCAGGTCACAGCACACTGGCTCACTCATTCACTCACCCACTCATTCACTCGCTCACTTTCCCACTCACTTGCACACCCATTCATTCATCCATCCACTCACCACACTGCAGGTCATAATGCTTCTCAATCTGCTTCTTGCCTCTCACTGCCCCACTTTGGAATTCCTTCCCATCGTCTATTTTCCCCGAGAAACGTGTTACAACTCTCATCCGATGACCACGATGACAGCGCTGTTTGTTGCTGGCTGCTTGAAGTGTTGCTCCTTTAGGCCTTTGCTCGGTAACTATATATATTTTAAAAGCCTGTATACATGCCGTAGAGAATGAGTGTTGTTTAAGCCACTTTCAATACAGACACTGCATTGTGAATGTGTGATAAGAGCAGATCCCATGATCGGAGATCTCCCGGAATGCGCCCGATCTTGTCCGATGCCAGAAGCTAAGCAGGCCCTGAGCGTGGCTCGTGATTGGATGGGCGACCGCCATGCACACAGCAGTAGACTGCTGCTGCTGCAGGGCTACGTTGTGTGGCAGTGTGGCAAAATCCACTGTTGTACCGTACTTCCGTGTTCACACGTTTCAGTGTTCACCGACTCGTGGTGATCAGGGTGGTGAAGTATGGTCAAATGACCCCCATCCCGTGAGACATGCACGGCATGTGGATATTCTCAGTTGACCATGGGAGCCCCGTTTACCATGGGAGCCCCGTTTACCATTGGAGCCCGGGTTGACCATGGAAGTCCGGGTTGACCGTGGGAGCCCGGGTTGACCATGGGAGCCCGGGTTTACCATGGGAGCCCCGTTTACCATGGGAGCCCGGGTTGACCATGGAAGCCCGGGTTGACCATGGGAGCCCCGTTTACCATGGGAGCCCCGTTTACCATGGGAGCCCGGGTTGACCATGGAAGCCGGGTTGACCATGGGAGCCCCGTTTACCATGGGAGCCCGGGTTGACCATGGGAGCCCCGTTTACCATGGGAGCCCCGTTTACCATGGGAGCCCGGGTTGACCATGGAAGCCCGGGTTGACCATGGAAGCCGGGTTGACCATGGGAGCCCCGTTTACCATGGGAGCCCGGGTTGACCATGGGAGCCGAGTTTACCATGGGAGCCCCGTTTACCATGGGAGCCCGGGTTGACCATGGGAGCCCGGGTTGACCATGGAAGCCCGGGTTGACCATGGGAGCCGAGTTTACCATGGGACCCCGAGTTTACCATGGGACCCCGAGTTTACCATGGGAGCCCGGGTTGACCATGGGAGCCCGGGTTGACCATGGGAGCCCGGGTTGACCTTGGGAGCCCGGGTTGACCTTGGGAGCCCGGGTTGACCATGGGAGCCGAGTTTACCATGGGAGCCGAGTTTACCATGGGAGCCGAGTTTACCATGGGAGCCGAGTTTACCATGGGAGCCGAGTTTACCATGGGAGCCCGGGTTTACCATGGGAGCCCGGGTTGACCTTGGGAGCCCGGGTTGACCATGGGAGCCAAGTTTACCATGGGAGCCGAGTTTACCATGGAGCCCGGGTTTACCATGGGAGCCCGGGTTGACCATGGGAGCCCGGGTTGACCATGGGAGCTCGGGTTGACCATGGGAGCCCCGTTTACCATGGGAGCTCCGTTTACCATGGGAGCTCCGTTTACCATGGGAGCCGAGTTTACCATGGGAGCCCGGGTTTACCATGGGAGCCCGGGTTGACCATGGGAGCCTGGGTTGACCATGGGAGCCCGGGTTGACCATGGGAGCCCGGGTTGACCATGGGAGCCCGGGTTGACCATGGGAGCTCCGTTTACCATGGGAACCCCGTTTACCATGGGAGCCCGGGTTGACCGTGGGAGCCCCGTTTACCATGGGAGCCGAGTTTACCGTGGGAACCCCGTTTACCGTGGGAGCCGAGTTTACCGTGGGAACCCCGTTTACCGTTGACTGTGGCAGCCCGGGTTGACCGTGGCAGCCCGGGTTGACCGTGGCAGCCCGGGTTGACCGTGGTAGCCCGGGGTCGACAACCTGCGGCTCCAGAGCTGCGTGCCCGCTCTTTAAGGACTCACCATCTCGTAATCACCACGTTGCAGTGCGGCTCTTGATATATTGAGAGTTTTTTTAATGTTTACTACCGAATTCGATCAAAAATAAATGTCTGTTCTTGTTATTTGGGCTGTCGAGCCCTGATCTAGCATGTGACAAGCCACTGTGGCTGTCCCAGGTAAACGACATGTTGTGACCCTCTTCTGATATCTGAAGCTAAAGGTTTTTTTTTTATCCTGGTCAGTACTTGGATGGGAAATTGCCTGGGTCCATTCCCTATTCGTAGCGGGGTTGAGCCGCGAGGTGGCCAGGAATTGATGGCATTGTAGCATTGGGGTTCTTAAATCCATCTGTGGAAATTTCAGTGGACAATATATACGTGTGCACGGTTTTTCTCTGGATTTTCCGGTTTCCTTTCGCAAGCCAAACAAACACTCGTGAACGTAAGTGACACAACCCACCGCGATACAGCACCGTGCCGAAAAGGTTCACGAGGCTTCGCTGATGCCTTAATTGGATAAATGAAGGGCATCGTTGTTAGACGCATAACGCCTGCACATTGGAAAGCATGGGAAGGTCCACAACGTTGACGTACGTATGTTGAACTTCTTTTTTCACCGTACGTAGCCAACCGTGCTAATCGGAGGCGCGGTGGAAGGACACCACAACTATTCGCTCTTAATAAAAGCAATTGGGCTTGGCCCAGGACATGTCGCTCAGAAGGATTGATGGCCGGTGGTGAATATTAACAATGTAGGAGCAGCGAAAAGGTTGGAACTCGCCGGATGCAACGCCGACGGTAGTGAAGGAGCGAATAAGTTAGCTCGTTGCGCTGCAGGCCGCCGGGTCGACTGTTGCATCGTGAGAGGTGGCGACGACTGGGGGGGGGGGGAAGGCTTTCATCCAGCAGTGGATTTTGACCCTGGCCGATGGTGAATTGTGTCTACCGTGCGCACGTTTCTATCGGGGGGGGGGGGGGGGGGGGGTGGAGCACGCTGGCGTCACGTCTCTGTCGCGCAATTCTCATTTGAGTGCAGCATGCAAAAACGGTGACCTCAACATCATGAATAATCTGTGCGACCTTATCTGTCTCACGCAGGAACCTGCTGGCATATTTGAATTGGTGGAGGTCGTTGGCAATGGAACGTACGGACAGGTGTATAAGGTGAGCAGGGCTCGGTTACCACCGGAGTGTTTACTCGTTGCTGGGGCGGTCCCCTCCCTGTGGCTTTGCCACTCTCGAAATGTCCTCTGCGCGGCGGGCCCGGCGGAGCTGTCGCGTGGTGCAGGCGGTGCAACTGCCCTGGGGCCGCACGAGGCCGGAGGGACCCAAGCGCCGGTTCACGGAGAGGAGGGTCACATCGGACAGGGGATGCCCCTCCCCCCACCATCGGACAGGGGGTGCCCCCCCCCCCATCAGACGGAGGGTGCCCCTGTGCCCACTCCCAACCCCTCCTTGCACCAGGCCCCATGTTATCATGGGCCGGTTTGAATTTACATTCTTCGTATTTATTTTTAGTGATTTGCTTTCTTTCCCTATACTGTACTTTGCAGTTCGATGGGGTTTTTTTGGGGGGTTGCTTATTGTTGTAACTTTCTGACCCGCACCCACTGGACGTCTGAAAAATAGCTTTATAGCTTTTCGGATTTCTCCAGTTTTAAAGATCCTGCTTCTGAACTGCACTACTGTGCCCACTGCCCCTGTGGGTCTCGGTTATGAACGCTGAATCCTAGTGGTGACTTGTTCTGGCTGTCCGAGTCCCATCGGACATTGGCACTTAACCTTGAGCATCCCCCGGGAGCTTTTGTCACCTCGAGTCAAAACGCTCCTTACTTAAAATGAAATTGACCAAACATTCAATGACCCTCAGTAAACCCTTAAAGTTGATTCTCAGCCTCTACGAGTAAATCAAGCGTATACATTTTTTTGTTGTTGCAGTTCTAAGTTGGTATATAAGCCCAGCTCCGATGACACAAGCCACGCGTCTTTGTGTCACGCTGGCGGGGAGGAATGCAAAAGGCAACTTGCGGCAGGGGCACACCCACTTAAGATACGAGCACCTGTGTGGTGCTCGCATCCCCGTGGCGAACTCGGTGCTTGCTCTCTTAAGTCTCGGCAGACATCGCCACTTAAACCTTGAGAATCCCACTCGGCACGCGAAGCACCTGCGCGGCCTTGCTGCCTAGGAGTGTGCCCGTACCCGGCCCGTGACCACGTATCGACGTTTTACGGCGCGTCCGACAACACGACGGGCGGCCGCGGCACGACTGCCGTGGAATTGTTGGCGCGGCCGTGCCGTTTGTGCGAGCGTCCGGGTGTTCACCTGCGCGCGTATGCACGGGGGGGGGGGGGGGGGGGGGGCGGCCACCGAGCCGCCACCGAGCCGCCGGGTGAGTCATGCAGGATCCCGCGCGGGCGATTTGTCGGCACAGGGGCGCTCGTCCGTGCGGCGACGTCGCGGAGAGCCGCGAAGAGGTCTCCACTCGGCCTGCCGCGCTGACTCACCGCTCGAGAGGGGCGTTTGCGATTTTTTTTTTTCCCCTCGCCCCACACCCCCCCGTGTTTACTTTTGGGCTCCTCTCTCGCTGGCGGAGGAGGGCGGCGGTTCGTGGTCGGCGAACGCGCTGCGGTCGGTGACGCTCGCCGAATTGTGAATCGCCGCAAGCGCTCGCGTCGTCGGTTGCCGCCGTCGATTGCGACAGCGCGCGAAGCGGAGCATGAGTGAGTGTGTGTGTGTGTTACCCGCTCCTTGTCATGCGAGTTTTTAAGCGCCTTAATGCGTGTCGGGGTTACTGCATTCCGCCTTCGCTCCGTGTCGTCGTCCAAGACAACGTACCGTGCCGCGTAATGGGACGCTGCGGCGTAGTAATGGTTAGCGCGCTGGACTCGCAATCCAGAGAGGTCGCCCCGGTTTGATTTGATCTCCCGCCGCGGCAGTTGATAGGGCGCCGCAGGTTCATTACGCATCCCTCCCTACCGGGCGCCTCTGTCCACCCAGTGGCGTGAATGGGTGCAACCCTCAGGCAAGTTGTTCGGCAGGTCGAGAGCGTGGCGGTGGGGTAAAGTGTGGGTACTGCCACCTCTGCCGAGGCGTCTGGCCGGCATTGAAGAGTAGGCGACACTACTCCCACGGTGGAGTGCACATTTCATGTACTTGGGTTGGTAGGGGCCCCGCTGGAAAGGGGTATTAACGCTCAAAGAGGATTTCCTAGGAAAATCATTGGCAGTATTATTATCGTTGTAATTTAATAACTTGAAAGAAGTAATATCTTCAATCGAAGCACTTTTTTGTTGCCGATTCTACAAAAGCCTTCGCACATGGACGCTCGCTAACTGTCCTCTATTTGCCGCTCGTAATCCCTGTACTTTTTTTCAACGTGATTATATACTTTGCTCTCATTTTCCCAGTTGGGGGAGTATGAAAGGACGGGTATTATTTTCATATCTCCATGTGCAGGGGCAGTCTGTGGCTGTCATCCATCCCTGGCCGGCACCGTCACTCGCGCGCCGTGTAAACGGTGTTCACCAGTGGTGACTTGGCAGTCTTTTGTCAATCCTCCGCTGGGTGAGGGCTTTGGCACAACGCGTTGTCAGTCGTCGTTGGGGGGTTTGTTTGATCTCTGCTTGCTGGCGCAGGTGGTGGGTCAGTGAATGGGAGGAGCCCAGGACCAGTGCAGATTATTACTCGCCACTGGGTTTTTAGCCGTGGCCCTGGTATCGAACTCTGCTCGCCGGTTTGAGAACCGCTTGTGAAATAACTCTTGGAGTCAATATAACAGTTGCCGGTGCAGTGACTTAATGAGGGCAAACCCAGCACTGCGATTGCTTTGGTTTGAACAAAAGCCATTTTGATATTTGAATGAAAAGTACCCATTTACTGGCAGTAATTGTGAGCAGGGGTGCTGCGACCGCATTGCCACGTCTATTAATATGAGCTCGCAGCGCACGCATGCAGTGGTGCGCGTACGAATACGTGGGTTTTGGATCGGTATGTAATGGGTTCGAACGATACCGGCAGCCCACCAGAGTCTGCTACATTTTGCCGCAGAAGAGTATTTAATGAAATAAATAAGCGCTCGGCACATTTTGCCCTTAACATGAATGTAATGGACAACATTTTCAGGCAATGGTCCTTGTTGATAGCACGTTTAAAAAAAATCGAATCTCCCAGTGGGGGGAGATGGAATCTTATTTCCCGTCGCTCTTAGTTCGTTAGGCGTGCACGACGTATTCACGGCACGTACCATGCACACATTCGCGCGGTTGCGCCAAGAGACTGCGTGTGCGGTACCGCGTACCGGCCGGCGTGATGCACCCGCGTGCGTACGGAAGTTGAGTTTACGAGAGGGTACAACAATGCGTTCGGTTACATTTGTCATGGGTGGCGGTGGTGGCCTTACATATTTTCAAACGACAGATTTTGATCTGCAATCGAAAACTGGCGGAGGTTGTTGACATTCCTATCCCTCTGTGTTCGCTTTGAGTTCGATGATCCGGTTAAAAAACTAAATTTAACTTGCGCTTTCGGCGGGTTGTTATTTTACATTGGTAATTTTTTTCAAGTTGTACCGCGCTGCTCTGTTTACACTATAAGAGAGGACTCAGAAGCACGAAGAACCACAGACAAGTGGTAATGGCAGCCACGCACTCAGGTGGAGACAAACTCCACACCCCAAGCTCTGCGGTCCTCTACATATTAAAAGTGTTTCGTTTTTTGGCATTCCCCCGCATGGTTGGCTACTTACGGTACAAAAGAAGTTCAACATACATCGAATCACAGAGACTCATAGACTCGCACAGAGAGCCATAGACTCGTGCAGAGACCCATAGACGCACGCAGAGACCCATAGACGCACACAGAGACCCATAGACTCACACAGAGACCCATAGACTCACACAGAGACCCATAGTTTGTTGGCCTTCCTCCGCACCTCCGATTAGCATGGTTGGCTATGTACGGTGTGAAAGAAGTTCAACGTACATATTTAAAGTGTTATCGGCCAATTAGTGTTTATACATGTGTGAGGAAATCGGAGTGCCCAGAGAAAACCTACGCGTGTGAGAGGGTATAACACTCGATCCCATACAGATGGAACAGGTAGGGTCCGCAATTTGCCGTACTGCCTTCGCCTGGCAAGGCAGGGTGGGCGCGCCTCGTCAACCTTGGACTCCACAGAGCCGGTTTTCGGGCCACATGCATTGCCACCACCGCCTGGCTAATACTGACGTTAAGGAAGGCCACCCGCGACATTTAACACGATTCGCATATTTTTTTGCTGTTGCCGTCGCATGTTTTGCCGAATATATTTTGAAGCGTGCAGGAGGAATGGCCAGCAGCCGTGTGTCCTCAGGGTTGCGACGACGCGTGGATTAATCGACGATTGTCGATTCTTCGACTCGCTGTGCGCGGTTCGAGAGATGATTTGGGCGAGATCTCGGAGGCAGCTCTGTGATGTCCGATTCCACGGGACCGTTCTGTAAATGGGGAGGGGGTTTGCGTCCGCTGTGCAAGAGTTCCCTCGAATGGGATTCTTCTTTGCTTGACACCGATAGCACAGCAGAGGAGATTGGAGAAAAAAGACGAAGCACGTTTGGATGCTTGAGCTCGCGATATGTGCGCTCGATCGCGTGCGTTGGAATGGATGTTTCCCCGTTCGTACATACGATGGATGTAAATGGATTCAGGTCACTGTTACGGTCGCTAGAAGGCACCACCATTCACCGTGATGTGTTAAAAAGTCAGTTCTGGAATCGATGATATCCCTTATTTTGTCCAATGAGCATTGTATGAACATTGCTGTTTAAAATCAATGTTCATTTATTATTATTATTAATATAAAGCATGCATTAATTGTCGTGCTACTGCTTGGGTCATCAACCCATAATAGAAACGTCACTTTGTGATGAATAGGAATTGCACGGATCACGCAAACTCCACATGGATAGGTGCGCCCCACCCCCCCCAGGGATGGGAATGTAACCCTGGCGCTACTTGTGCTGCGAGGCGTGGAGTGTTGCCACTGTGCCACGCCGCCCATGAGCTAAATCCTAGCTTTGGCTCATCGAGCTGTTTGACTCTTAAATATCCACGCACGACGGCGGCGAGCTGATCGGCGCACGAAACGAGCCCCTTCCCCCGCTTGTGGCTTTATATATTTATAGCG